GTACACTACATTTCATTTGAACTGGGTGGAACCTTAATGAAAAAATCACACACAATAACTGAAATAATAATGTTCAAAAAGACAATAATGCATGGACACAGGTACAAAGCACTAATCATATAATTATGTATTAGGCATTTACATGATATGTAAATATATTCTGTGTAGACCTCCAAATAATTTATGCGATTTGTATTTCAAGTCAAGTCAGAGATTTTAATTTTGTGGTAATCAAAAAAGAATCTGGGCTATAAACAAAGTTCATACAAAGAAAAAACTGAATGAAATGACAAAAGACTGGAGTAGAGTACTAGAATACTCCCTACGTGGAAAAATTGTGACATCTGGCGGCCAGTTTGAGTATTATTGGGTTTCCGTACACAAAACTAATTCAACACCTACCACGTTGGCTTTTGTATCAATGTCACTCTCTGTCCTAAGACTCGGCCAGCCACTGTTTATTATAGTACAGGTATTTCAAAACATATACACCTTAGTCAGTTCACGTCACGTTTGTTTTGAGAAACAAAACGTTTTCAAGTGCATTCCATTTCACCAAGAACAACTTGCTTGCCTCGGGTTTCTCAATGAGCACTATAGGCTGCCTGGTAAGGAAGGACCTCTGTTTAAAACACAGACTGACATAATGTACTGCGTGCACTTCAGTGTTCTGATTAAAAGGCTTAAGTGACTTGGATGACAGCATGCAGGCAAGATTCTGTGGAAATGGGCTGCATTAGGAAAGTACTGCAATTCTCCGAACTGTGGTCAGCCCCTCTCTTTTGCAGCTTAATGATGAGCTGAAACTCATCTGTTTCCCTAGAAGCTAACTCTCTTATCTTACTCTGTGTATTTGAGAAATCACCTTAAGAATGACCAGTCTTCTTAACTGGTATCGTCACTCCCGCTGTCCTCCTCCCACATCATACACATTAGCTGGGCCATCTCTTTCTCTACCTTCTCGGAGCTGGAAAAATTTTATAGCTGTTTCCAAGCATCAGATATTTCTACCACCCCAAAAGGACAACTTCACCAATTATTTTAACTTTGTAACGAAGAAAAAAAGATAACCGAGCCAGTGTGGAATCCGTGTAGGATACTGAATCCTATCTGCTTCCTAATCTCTGTTCTCAGTGTCTGAATAGTTGCATCTAGCAACTATTATCCTATTAGTATTACTATTACTGTATCCTGTTTACCTCAGAGCAGGCTCTTTATTTTTATACTCACAGCTAAAAGGAAAAAGGCAGTGCATGTGAATGAATGAATAAAAGTGTCTATTATATGATAATTGCATAAAAAATCTCAAGCCATTAAAATAATTACCCCTCTCTTTCAACCATGTTAAGACACTACTGCGAAACTGACTCTGTGCTGAGTAACACACTTATTAAAGCCACAGTACTGGGTTCTCCTTTAAGTAAAGCCTTGGGGGTCCAGGTCCTACAGTCTCCTTATTTGTAACACATTGAAACTGTTTTGTTCAAGTAAGAACACAGAATTCCTCCTCTAGGCATTTAAGGCAAACATTTTAAAAAAAGAATGCCACAATAACGTGAACACTGAAACTCTTTACATCTCGCGACATGAATAATTGATCCCTAAACACTAAAACGCTAAACAGTCAGAGATGATGTGACACCCAAGATATTCCTTTTTGTTATATAATATTATATGTATAATAATATGTCTTATTATGACTGATGACACCCAATACAGTCTCACTCAATCGGCATCAATATGCAGAAACAAATTCTACATAGGAGCCCAGGAACATTTACTGGGGCCACAAACTAATTTCATTGAAAAAATCCTTCTCTTAGAATGTGCGGTCAAATTGAATTCAGGCTAGGAAACTGTGGACAGGATGTTTTATGGATGTCGAAAAACTAACCACGTTCTTGTCTTACTTAGATGGGTTGGAGTCAGTCAGCTAATTGATCCCAGGAACTCATCCAGCTGTTTCTTGAAAGACGCCAGAGCATCAGCTTTAACCATAAGCCTTGGGTAGCTTTATCAAGTAAATCATATTGAGAGTATCTGATCTAGAGCAATTCATCCATCTTTGATCCTGTACTGTGTTGCGGGGGAACCAGAAACTAACCTGGCAAGCAACAGCTGCAAGGTGGGATACACCCTGGACTGGAAGCCAGTCCATTGAAAGGCACACACAGACACAGACATGCAGATCTGAAATGATCACCTTATTACAAATGTTGTATTATTACTGTCAGAATGTTAGAACGCTTTACTTGCACATTATTGTATTAAACATAAGGTCAAACGTTAACATGCAAAAGGTTTTTTACCTGATTCCTTACCTAATAATTTTGTTCTATCATTCCACGTTTTAGTGAGACCAATGAGCTCAAACAGATTTTATTATACTTAACTTGTATTAAAGACAAAGCAAAGCATTTACTCTGGTAATAGTCTCCTAAAGGAGCATGGAGAGGATATTGTAAAGGCTGTACAGTCAGAATTTTAAAACAGCTGTCTGAGGAATTTGAAGGGGCATTTCACTCATATTATAGGAGTTTTTAATTAAGTGTACTGGATGCTTCATTCAGGAAAGCTGATAATGTTTCTAAACCCCACTGCATGTGCATGAAACACAAAAATAGTGTACTCCAGCCACTTCAGACAGGATGTACGAGAATAATCAACAAAGGCTGACGCAAAAGCAAAGAAGAGCAAGCGTTTAGTGACGCAAAATCCGAGAGTGGAATGGAAGGATTCCGCTCAAGTAGATGCAAGGAGGAAGAAACCATCATGTCAGATTATTTCAGCTATAACTGCAGCTCATTTCATGTTCTGTGAAGCACACTTGCAATTGCTGTAAAACCTATTAGAGGGGTACATTCGGTTTTAGGTCTACGTGTGAGGCATGTTTCTCAAAATAAACATGTACATTTCTGGTACATATACTGTATTGTTTTTCAAAGAAATTGATAATAGTTTTCATTATTATATACCCAGGGAGGGTTGAACGAGGAAGAATGGACAGGATCCTTCACAACCGCAGGCTGTGCAGCAACGCAGTTCTGGCTAGAGGGGAGAGGCAGGTCAATCAGGTACTTCGAGTCTTCAGGAGGGGAAGTATCATGGTTTGCTATTTTGGTGGAAACCAAGAGAGACCCTGTCTGATTAAATCCACCCATTATCCCAGTGATTTTGACCCGGCAATGCTCAGGAAATCCCAGTCACAGTTGGTGAGTATAACCTCGTATTTTATCTTAACATATCTTACGAATGAGAGACCGCTCATCCCATCCCAGAACATTTGTTAGTTAGTAGCTAATTGATCCAAGGACCTTATACAGCTGGATTTTGAAGAAACTGGCAAAAACACATCCAATTAGCTTGGCCCATACTCCCATAATGCTTTGCATAAGGAAGACCCTCTTTTCTCAGTTTTAAATGCATGTAGTTTCCACTAGTGTACTCTTTAATTCCCATTTCCTGATGCTGCAGAAATCCACTGGGTTGACTTTTGCCTACTGAATAACAGAATGCGATTCTCTTAGTCTGTGAATATAGGACATTCTCTTAATCCCTGGTATCTTATTCCTTTTCCCTGGACTGGTTCCAGCAATAGCTTTTCTATAACACCGTGACCAAAATCATACATAACATTTTACATGTGGTCTTACTAGACAATTGAATTAGGATCCCTCACTGTTAACTCTACTTTTCAAATTATATACAGTATCCTACCATTATCTGCCATTTTTCATGCTTCCACACATTGTCTGGAAGAAATAAGTAATAAGTCAGTCAACAAGAACACTAAATATTTTTCATACAATTTTCTACATTCAATGTTACTTGCCAGGTGTTTGTAGTCTTTCTGAATTTTTGTTGCTGCTGACTACAGCAGGCTAAACCCAACTAGTTTACTAATTATTCCAGAATGTAGATAAGTGACATAAATAATATGTTCCTAAGGTAGTAATACAGATTCTTGAGGTACTCCACCAATTTCATCAGTCCCAGAAATTAAGATTATGGCCCAGCTATTAATATTACCAAATGTTTTACCTACACTTTCCTGCCAATGATCCTACACATTTCAAAGTGCCAAAGACCAACCAGCTGAAGAACTGGTCTTTTGGCAGCTGTCTATTTCATCAGAAAATGAATTGTTTAGATGTGGTCTATTCCTTCGGTGCCTTAAGAATCTGACATTCACACAGTAAATGCAGGATGTGGACAGGTATAGATGCTGATTACAACATTACAACATTCCCACTCCCCTACATATAAATAATAAGGATCAAGAGAGAAACAAAGAGGATAGATGTTTTTTTCTTTAGCTTCCACACGCACAACAGAGAAAAAATTGCATTTATCCTCACAAAGTGTGGTGGGATTCTGCAATGAACTACCAACCCTACTGCTGAAACCAACATCCTAGAGTCTTTCAAGCAACAGCTGGGGGGATTTGGATAAGTTACTAGCTGTCAAAATAACCACATGAAAAATCCTCATCTCTCATTTGTAGCCTGTTGTGCATTCTATCAATCTACCAGTTTACAACTTCAATGAGCGTGACTGCTCTGAAAATACAGTTCTTACTGAAGTGAGGGTCAAATAGAGATATCCTTGTCACATCCATTGTTGATGGACAGATTTCAGAATGTGATATTTGCTGAATAGCAAGTTGCAGATGTCATGAAAAGCTTATAAGACAAGTAAGTGGATACTGACAATCTATTCTGTCCTGTGCCAACAATGCCCAAATGGTCTTTTGCCTGTTTTTCCACAAACTACAACCTGGTCTTTTGTTTTTAGGTGCTCAATGTAAATATAAAGGGAGTGTGCACTTTTCATTCCCCTCACTTAAACTGCAATGCACACAAAAAAAAGTTAAATATCACTACAGAATACTGTACACTAACTGTATCCATGTTAGTACATCTTAAAACAATAGTGGCATAATGGCATAGGAGGCATGTAATAGATCTCTTTGAAAAAATTGACAAGATACACGAAAGTCACTCGGTTTCATATGGTCTTGGATTTTATTTTTAGAATAAGTGTAACAGAGCAGCACAGGTTATTTCCTAAGTGAGGACATTCACAGTATTTCAATTAGCACAGTGCTTTACAAACTCTAGCAAAGGAAGGCACACACATCTGAGTAGTCTGGCAAGACCTAGCTGAAACTACATTTTAAATACCAAATATTTAAACAAACACATTTTGTAGCCCAATAATGCAAATGCCTACAAATTTAAGACAAACATAAGTCACGAAGATTCCTCCAGCTGTGTGATAAGCAAATGTTGCTGTTTCATTTCAAACCCACAGCTTTATTTTAGTCCAAAAATGGCTTAGACATGAGAAATACGTGAACGGATTGTGCGCAAGTTAAGCATAACCTAACAGACTAAATGATCTCAAGGCAGAGCTCATACACCTATAATATACCAGCATCTCATGCCCCTTGCACCAGAAACACTTCTTTAAAAGACATTTATAAAAGGTCAACAGGATTTAATGGACCAGAATCTCACATATCCACTATTTTATTTCTTACTTTAAAATGAAATAAAATGCAACTTCTGTCCTGTGCATCACAGACAGGTTTATGACACCACAACATTTACAACTAATCTGTAGTTTTCTGATAAGAATAGACATAATATTATTACTGCATTAAACCACTCATTAATATTTTTTTTACATGGTTGCACTATTATGTTAATTGATTCGAAACACACTTTTCACAGCACACACTACTGCTAAGTGCTAAACAGTATTGTTCAGTGTGTAGATTTCCTGACAGTGCACTGGTGCAGCAGGAGTGAGGACTGAACCATGACTGAGATTTCAAGATGGGGTTAGAAATGCATCTACATTAGGAAAAATAAAAACCAACTTTCATGGATTATTGCTCAAAATCTCAAATCCTTCATTCAACACAGCGCAGGTTGCAGGCAGTAGCTTTCCAACAAAAATACAGTGAGTGAAATGAAGTGAAGGGCATGCCTGTATTTGGCTCTACTATTAGATCAATTTAGCTATAAAACAAAAGACAGATGCTGCACAACAAGGAAATAAGGAACTGCTATTGTCTCTAGCTTTGGTATTCCCACCAAATGATTTACAATTTGTAATATTTAACTGGACTTCAACTAAATTTGTCACATACTGTACAATCACAACTGCAAAAATAAGTTGTTACAACTTAATGCATTATGTATGCACTCTGTAAACTACACTGTTATACAAGGCAAACTATGGCACTAGGCAACTACTCCTGTAACTGACAGCGATTCTTATCCCACCGTTTGTGGATAATTTTATAATTAAAACATGAGTTTAAGAAGGTTTAAAAACACAGCCAACGTCTTTCCCCAGAGCCCGAGAATGAGGGTCAGTCGAGTAGTTCTTCCCTCTGCGACCTCACAGGCACACTTGGAAGCGTGTTTGTGCCCAATTTAAAAAAAATACATGTTTTCCCCTCGTTAATGCACAGTGCCTGCGCACGTGAAAGAGAGAAGAAAAACACAAAGGCACCACGCTTGGCAGAGAAGAGAGTGGGCAGTTGAAAAACAGCCAGCAGTGGAGTGCACAACTCAGAATGTCAGGCTCTGAATGCTAACTTAACTTTCCTCAAGTGGCAAAAAATCTATAGTTTATTCTCCATGACAGTGGAATGGTTTGCATTACAAATCAACTGCTATAAAGACATTCAGGGCAAGAGTACTATTTACATTTAATGTGACCTGCATGAGGATGCTTAAGGTTCAGCCTCCAATAACCTTCTCTGCCAATTCCACATTTCGCCTGCATAATCAGGTTTATAGAGACCGGAATGTGAGCAGCTCTGCCCGGAGCCAAGCTTCTCCTTAGAGGGTTTTGGGAAGGACCTGCCCTTCTGGAATGAAGGCCCTCTCCTTTCTGGAACAGCTGCTGTTGGTGGACCACTAGGTGACCTGCAATCACAGACCCGGAGCCCAAGCATGAACATTTCGACACTGCAGAGAAAAGCTGGAGCTCTCGAGGCAACAAGAAGCAAATGGTCCTGGAAGCGATGCTTTAAGGGATTCTTCAAGGCTTTAATGCAAGGGAAGGCAGCAGGACTCCATAGTCAAGGGAAAACGCATGTCACATAGTAGAATAACACCACATTTTAGGAACATCATCTTTCAGGAAGCACAGAAAACCACTTATAATACACACAGACAATACATTCACACAAGCATTAAGGTAAGAAATGATGCCCTACATTTTAATAGTGCAATGGTGTTTGAAATGTTCTCTCACCACACCTGGCTTTGGTTGTTCTGTGGGGTCCATTTTCAGACGTCTTGGTTGTCTAGAAAACACCAAAATAAAAACAATGGGAAACATTCACGTAATCTAAATATCAGGTACACCTGTCAGACAGTTTCCTTTAATTGTCTACTTGTAACTTTCTTCTGCTCTGCTTCTATTCTGAAAAAGAAGATTTCAAAACAGGTAATCCTAATTTTCAACATACAGCCTCCCTCTTCTCCTTTGAATTCAACCAGAAACCGTTTAAAAATGGAAAAGCCATTAGACCACTGCAGTACAATCCACATTTGAAGCCCTGTTAGAAAATCGGGAGCATCAGAATCTTCTCAGAGCATTTTTTCAAATAACAAATACCATATACAATACAGTGCAACCAAAGACAATACAAAAAACAAGCTCCATGACATCCCATTAAATAAAACAATTATGTGACAGGTGTGGAAAAACCCCATTATAAGCAATACGAACTTTGTTGTGTAATAGATACATCATGTACAAAGAGAAGTATAAGGAGAAATCTTCCAGATGAATAAGAATCTTAAACACTGTTATTAGAAGTCAGATACCAATAAATACTAACTGCAGTGCATGTATAGATTAGAAAGTTTTGATCATCTCAGTGCAACAAAGAACTTGGCAGGCCGTATTCATCTGATAACTTACAGTACACGTTCTGCATTTGGGCTGACTGGAAGCACTCCGATAATATTCCAATAGTTTTTCCGCCAGAGCTATCCGATGTAAGAGATTCTCTATGAAGTGCTGAAGCCGGACTTTCCCACAGACTTCATGCTGAACAGCCGCTTCCAGAAAGTTATGTATACTGATCACTTCCCTGGAAAAAAAAAACAAAACCATATGAAGATGCAGAAAATGAAAAGCTTAGTACCTCTTGACTCATTTCTTAGAAAAGCTCTCTGGGTTGGTTTCCATTTGTCATTTTTAAGGAATCTTAGGTTCATCTGCCAGTATTATATGAGGCAGACATAAAAGAGTAAGCCTACCCATTAAGACATGGCATTTGTTCTAAAGCTGTCATTTTTCACTCCCAGATTTTCTGTGGGAAAATGATACTTTTTGCGACGTGTGAAGTTGCCACAGACTCAATCAATCCAGTAATATTCAACATTCTGAAGGTCCATGGAGAATCTAGTCCCCTCATGAGACTGTATGCAAAGGACTCTTCCTCATCTTTCTAAAAGAAAACACAGCGTGTTGCTGAAAGTCACACGGCGGATTTATTTCTGTGGTTACTTCATTTCTCAACAGTGCTGTGTTAAAAAAGGGATTCCCAGCCGCTCTGCAATACAAAGTCAACGGATTGCTAACATGAGCTCTTTGTGCGGCACTGTTTCTAAACAACTTCCAACGGCGAACTCACTGCTCCTTCCTCTCCAGCTCCTGCTCGGACTCCGCCAGCTGCCGGCGCAGAGCAGCGATCACGCCGACGGCCGTGTCCACCTGGCGGCTCAGCGCCCTCTCGCGCTCGTACACCCGCTGCCTCTCCCGCGCCAGGTGCCTGGACCGGGCCCGGGCACGCACCAGCTCCGAGTCGGTCTGCGCCAGCTCGCTGGTCACCCTCCGCAGACACCTCTCTGTGGTGCAGTCCGCCGCTCCCAGCCCTCGACTCTCGTGGCTCGTCCCAGCGGCCCTGCTGCCATCCCCTCCTGACCTGCAGGGGGCAGGGGGTGGTTCCGGCTTCTCAGGCCTGTCCCGAAAGGCGACGTTCCTTTTCCCCACTTCCTCCGTCTGACCCCCGGACCGCACTGACGGGGCCGTGCAGCGGACGATTCCCAACTTCTTCTCGAGCAGGAAGACTTTGGGCGTGCAGGCCGCCGCTGGGCGGAAGCCGTGCGCGTCCTGGTAGGTGTGGCTGTACTCCAGGTGCGCCCTCAGGGAAGACAGACTTCGGAACCTTTCCTGCTCCCCGCATCTCGGGCAGCGGAAGGGTAGCCGCCGACCAGCGACGCAGGCCTCTGCCGTCTCCTCGCACAGGGGAGAGTTTCGCTCGTGGAGCTTTTGCTGCATTTCATTGAAACCTGAAGTGAAAAACAATTTTAAATCACTGTATAACCCCCCCCCCCCAGACATGCACACAAAACATAGTGACATTTTCAGAATAGTAATCACTCGCATTTATGAATAATTCCTTACACTTATATAGCACTTTTCTGGACACTCCACTCAAAGTGCTTTACAGGTAATGGGGACTCCCATCCACCACCACCAATGCCCACCTGGATGATGCGATGGCAGCCATAGTGCACCAGTACGCTCACCACACACCAGCTATTAATAGGGAGGAGAACAAAGTGACGAAGCCAATTCATAGATGGGGTTTATTAGGAGGCCATGACTGGCAAAGGCCAATGGGAAATTTGGCCAGGACGCCAGGGTTTCACCCCTACTCTTTTTGAGAAACGCCCCCTGCTGGCCCCACTAATGCCTCTTCCAGCAGCAACCTTAGTTTTTCCCAAGAGGTCTCATCCAGGTGCTGACCAGGCTCACATCTGCTGAGCTTCACTGGGTTGTCAGTTGTGAGTTTCCGGGTAATATGGCTGCATTAAACAGCACTGTTCACCCCAAGATGCTTTACATATACAGTTCATTGTGATCTATTGTTCATCACAGTGAAGTGCATCCAATTGTTCACTGGTTTGGACATTCTAGTCCAGAGAAAGGAGTGTCACCTACTGGTCCAGCAACACCACTAACCCAAGAGATCTACCATCCTAAACTGACCAGGCCAAGCCTTACTTAACTAGGCAATGCTGGAACTATCACTTGAGAGCACATTCTTATTTAGAATGGTGGCCCAGAGAATACCATTTAAAAGAAAGGTACTTTATTTCCCAGAGCAATACGAGTTACCTACCTTGCTCAAGGATATAACAGCTGTGTCTCACACAGGATTTAAACCATCAACCCCCTTGTCACGGCTCCAGAGCCCAAGGCACTACTCCACACTGCAGCCTGGACTGGAGAGACCTAGTAAAATGAAGAAATGTCCCATCTTTGGCAAGAGCTGACAATAATCAATCTAGAGCAATCTATGGAACGATAAATAAAAAGGTTCATAAAACCCTGTACTATAAGCTATACTAAAATGCTTGTCAGTATGAAAAACATAATGTAGATAATCCTTTAGCAGACTCTAAAATATACCCTGGTTTCCTGTCTGTATTTCTAAGCAGTAGAAAGGGCTAAAAATATTTTTTGTTTCGGAATACCAGGCCTCATGAATCAGATTTTCTGAATTCTCCAATGTCCATTTCACAGAATCGCAGGAGAAAGACACCTTGGGATCCAGAATCCAGTAGGATTTCCTTGTTTCCCGCTGTTATTAGCCTGGGAGAAGAGTTCAATTGATCCAGCTTGGTTAATTTTCACTCGTTCCTCTCCCCTCCACAGCATTCGGCTGATGGCGATTTCAAGAGACACAACCTGCTGGATTTTGAACCCCTGAAGTCTGCTGAAGAAGCATCTTGTCTAGAGTGTATCGGGGCTTAAAAGATTACAGTTCCTGCGCACAAGCAGACATGTAGTAATAAGCGCTAAACAGCTATTCGAGTTGCTCATTAATGAAAAAGTGACACTAGCATGAATGGTTTTTCCCTACATGACGCTTAAAAAAATAATTAAAACAGTCCAGTCACAATTTGGGGAAAAGCCCTACACTCTAGAACTCACGAACACAGCCGATGTAGGAATAAAAATAATATTTTTTTATATTATTAACATGCACCACACATTATAGCACGCTTCAGATTTATCTGCAGATAATCCGCAGTCTACTGATTCAGCGCTGTCAATGCTAAGAGAAGCAGACTGAAAAAAAACCCTCTGGCAGTTCAATCCTAATTAGAGTTTAGCGCGACCATTCGCAGTCTAATTTACACATCATAACAAGTCACTAGAGAAAAGCAAACATACAAAGATTCGCAAATGAGTGTTAAGATACCTTGTATACTGGAAGCAAAATGAAGCTATCTCTCTATATCTATCCCTACCTGTATTTAAAATGTGATGGGCTAATTGAATGACAACTGGTCAGTGAAAGAGGTGGATACGTTGAGTAGCTTTTTGATCTCTGCATAAAATGTAAATAGGATAATCAACTAAAATAACACTTTGTATTTTAAAAGAATGAAAAAACAGAATTCCGTGGTATGCGCCCACGACATTTTACCTGTACGATCGCAATGTTACAAAAAATGAAGTTTTATTGCCTTTAATTCTTGTCAGGTAAATCGCCTGCTTTAACTAGCTTGACAATTTAGACCAACCAATCGGCAAACTAGGAGTTTTCTAAGTACTAAAAGCACAGGTCTACAAACTCAATTATGCAAAACACGCCTTGTTAAAAGAAATAGGGGTTGTGCAAATAGTCCCCCCATTTCTGAACGGGTGAGGATGTAGTTGTGTCATATGTTGTATATAAAAATGCGAAACAATTCGAATTTTCCAAGTGAATGAATATGTAACTAATCATATTCTTTAAAACTAATAATTAAGGTTTTCGAAGGGACCTTGAAATAGGAATTATGTACTGGGTATCGTACGAATTTGAACACTATCTTTGCACCAATAAAGAATGCATTTACCATTCTTCCTATAATATCA